ATTATCTTTGCCATCTTTTACACTTTTATTTTCATTTATTATGGTACATATTAAAATAAAATACGCTAGAAGCATCACCTTCTGACTGTTTCTTGTTTCTGATGCTACAGAAGTCTGACTAGCCAGTTAAGAAGCTACTTCCCAGAGATGTTCATATTCCAGAACTAAATAGCTAAACTGTTAAGTCATGAAATAAAACAAACCAAATGAGAACCTATACAGCTTCTGATATTTTGGCAAGATAAAACTTTAAAAAATTAAATTAAATTTTCTTCTGTTTTCCCAATATTGAATATACAGATCCAAACAAGGAATCCAGACCAAAATCTAGAAAGAAATTATAAGTTGTTGAGGAAAGGGTGATCAGGATACAGAAGCATTTGTTTCTCAAACTTGTTGAGGAAGTTTCTAGACAGCAAAGATCCTCTGGGAGCAAATGACAACTTCATTTTATTTGTTTGTTTTTACATGACACATCTGATACAGTCTGCCTAAGATAATAGTATCATGCTGTGAATTAATATGGCACAAATGATGAAGTGAAACTAAGAGATCAGGCATTAATTACAAATTACTAAAGTAATTTACTAAAGTAAAGAAATTTTGAATGAATATGCCTGTACTTTGTAAAGCAAAAACAAAACAAAACAAGGCAGCCTAAACTTGCAGGCTGCACTAATTACATAAATCAAGTAAATTTAAATAGCATTATTTCTTTTGCTTCATCTTTCTAATTGTGGCTAATCTGAAGCACTGGAGGTTGTCCAACTGTCCTCACTCCTGACTTCTGAGGCTTTAGTTGTCATCTAAAATCTGTTTCACAGCCACAAGAACTTCTACCTCCCTCCCCAAATAAACCTGAGATTCTGACTTTCACAAAAAAGACCAAAGTCTTAACTTCTTTTTTCTTTATTAGTTCCCATTGCAAGGAATGCAAAATACAGGCTTGTTCTTGTGTTACTTTGGTAGGTACAGGTAGCTTTTTCAGGACTAGTTCTGCCATTCGAAGAGAAAATAGCCACTTCAGTTGGCCGATGGAGAAGAGGGCTGGATTAAGGCTTCTTTCATTATGTGCTACTTGCTCATGGGGAAAGGATGGATGGATGGATGGGATGACGGTGAGGGTGAGGAGCCAAGGCTCCTGGCAGTTGGCTTAGCCATGACAAGAGCATGAGGATTAAGGGGTCAAAGCGGTGGGAGTCAGCACTTCTTGACTGTAAAATCTCTGCCTGGATGGGTGACCTCTGCCCCTTCTTATTCTCAATGGTTCTTTAAAGGGCATGAAACCTAATTACTATCCTGTTTGTTTCTGGATGAGCTGAGGCAGAGCCACAGTCTTCAAGAGCTAACATCCTGGATCTTTGGGGAGGCTAATGGTGGTGGATCAAAATTAATTTGTGGGTTGCTTGAATGTGAAGGTTTGGCCTTCTCTTGGAACAGAGGGAAATCTGGATTCTCTCAGGTCCAAAATCTTCTGCTAGGTTTTAGCTTAATAGAAAGGAAGGCATGTGGGATGGAGGTTTATAAAATGCTGCAAATATCAAGGGTTCGCTGATGGAAGACATCCTCTTTGTCACAGTAGTCCATGTTGTACTTTCCTCTCATGTATATACAATTGCATCTCACACTTGCTGCATTGCTGTGGTAGCCCAGTTGTAGATCAGCCTGTATCTGTTTGGCTTTTGCCCTTGGGAGCTAGAGCTCACCAGTGGGTTGTAGAATTGAGACCCTCTTAGCCAGGTGCCATTGCATGAATGCTGAAAAAGCAACATGTGCTGAAGTCTTGGTTGCCAAGATAGTGTGCAGCGGTAGAAGCTGCAACTTTTGAGAGCAGAGAGGGATATAGGAGTGCATATCAGATTTGGCTTTATGCTCTGGAAAGAGGAAATTGGAAAGAAAAATGAGGGCTTGCATTGTGCCAGGAATAATCTCTGCTGAAGTCCTTACTGTCTCTTTCTGTTGAACTGCTCTGAGAATGTATCCATGTTCAGAAATGGGGTGCTAAGTTTGAAAGATGTACTTAAGGAATTCTGAAGGACTTCCTCCAAAAGGACCCCTGCCCTTTTATGTGTGCACATCTGTATACATGCAGGCATATGGGGAACAGTTCTTGTTACAATGGCGGAGTGTGAAAATAGGCTGCTTTGTTCTGCAGACAAGAATGTGAGTGAGTCTGTGCAGATGCCAGTAAGGTGTTTAATGTCAGAAGAACCCTGTGACTTGTAACCTTTGCTGATGTGTTGTCAAAGGCATGGGGTTGGTGAAAAGTACAGCGCCTTGGGTTCAGTTAAAGTAGGGCTTGTTTTACTCTAGACTGAACACAGAGTTACTGAGAAACATTTTGCTGTAGCATTTTTGCTGGCGCTGCATGCTGACAGAGTAAGGGGCGGCAGTGGAGGGAGGAGAGGCATTGTCTGGAACTGATCTGTGTGCTGGGCACGCACTCTGTTACAAGTGGGTCTCTGGAAAATGGCTGGGAATGAGGGAACTGCCTGGGCCCCAGCTCCTTCCATCTTCTCGCTGCTTTGAGAGGGGAGGGGTTTCAGCTGGTGTCTTGTTCTTCAGCTGAATTTCCCTTCTTGACTGGGCCTGGCGCGCTAACAGTACCTCTCGTACCACAAGGGCTTCCTTGGGGAATGGTTGTCTGTCTCCTTGTGAGCTTTTCATAGGGCACTTCAGCACTCCACTCACATGGCTGGGCGGGGGGGGGGCGGGTTCTCGACGTCGTTCCTTTTCCCGTT